GGTATGACTTAACTTGGAATTGAATGGAATGTCAGTTTAGACTTGTCTCCCATCCCCATGTTTATTATTTATAGCTGTAAATATTCAGAAAAGAAAAATCCAAAATTTGAAAACCACTTCTGGTCCCAAGAATTTTGGATAAGGGATAGTAACCTGTACCCAACAAAGCACTGTGAAAATAAAACTTAAAGCTAGGAATGGCTTTGTTCTGCTGCTGAATTCCTATGGCACGGTTTAAGATCACTGTAAAGTGCTTGATTTGTCCTATCCTGTAAGTTCTACGCCATGTGTTGAGATTCCTGCTAGATTACTATCAGCTTGTTGCAACCCAACTTAACCACCCCTTCCCATGAAATATATCCATGAGTTCAATCAACGCCTTGTTCCACAAAATTGTCTCCTAGTTTGATCCACCATTCTTATCATGACCTGTTTCGGTTAAGCATCTTGACATTTTATTGATCTAAGTTCCTAGGCTTGTTAATCATTCAATCCTTCAGCGAAGAGAAGTTAGAAAGAATAAATTATCTGAATTGGCTTGACCAAGCAATTGTCGTGAGGATATCATACGATCCTTGATTAATAGGCATTGTGGTAAGCCCTTATCGATATGGGCATTTGGTAGATTTAGATGAACAGCTCTAAATCCTTTAATTGGTTCCTTTGCATCGTATACAGCAGCCTCAGCAACATTCCTTTATTCCTAAAACCTCAAACCTATCATGAGTCCACCCGGATCTCATTCTACAAAATTCTCATTCACCGCTAATCTCTTTCTAAAATTTCCCGTAAAAGATGAAGGCATAAAACAAAAAACAATAATATAATCAAAAAAAAAACAAAACCCCAATGACAGTTTAATACATAGAGTGCTATTTTGCCCTTAGTTTTCTGTACAAACGCTGCTATAGTGCAAACCCAATATTATTGGCCTTATGGTAACAGACTGCCCATGTTCTATCAATGGATCTATTGGTAATGTAGTGATGAACAGCTAGAAAGCTGTACTGTAGAGTGAACATAGAATAATGGTGTGATGTTCCCCCCCAAAGATTAAGGCAATAGGAGAAGGTCATCTGATCCTGAAATTAACCCCCCGCTAATATGGACTACCATAAGAGCAAGAAAGGCGCTCCAACACCCAACTATGTCACCCCGGCACGTACCGCTTGGCATTTGCAGCAGGTATCTTGATGGCCGTTATTCTGCTCCTCTTTATCCCAACGATCTAAACATTGATCCGGCCACCCTCTCAGTTACGTGTCTTTCACGGCGTTATTTTTTCAGGTATAACTAAACAGAATTAGAAAGTAATTTTCCTTGTCTATTCTTTCAGTAGCATTTCACACAGAATAACCTAAGGACGGAAAACAAACCTCAGTCATCCAAGGAGATGTAATGCGAATTAGGCCAGGTAGGCTCACGTCCGTACGCCCAATTGCTATTATCCCCGAAGGACAAGATATACGGTTTAGGAATAAGCTATATTGCTTAAGCTCTGACGCCAGTGAATTAAGCATCCCCGACCTCGAACCTAAAATAGTTTCAGCATCCATGTGGTCCACTTGGCAGAGATCTACGACCCGTAATAATTCTCAATTCTCACCTCTCTGTGCATACGTTGCTGCTAATTGTGGCTCCAAAACGTACAGGGTGTGCTCAAAAATCAAAACATAATAACGGCGAAAAATGAGAAATATTGTAGCTAAATGTACCGTTTATTTACAAGAATATTCATGCATCAAAATTTTATGAACTTTGTCCTTTGTACGGCAGACATTGTGGGACATTCCCTGCGTATTAATTTGTTGGTAACATCATGCTGGCTTTTGTTTATCATCACTCAGTTTCCCAACAAACTGTCTTAGCCTTCACCCGGCCCCCTGACTTAATCATGTACTCCCCAGTTACTCGAGTTTCTCTAAGTCTGGTCATGAAGGACAAGACACCCCCTTTTCTATTCTCGCTTACAGCCCCTAGAAACAAAAGGAGTCTTGAATATGAACCCCCTCAGCCAAAGCGTGGGCGTCTGGTTTTGCATCAGGCTCCTTCACCGCTTGTCGCACCCAGACTCCCTCCCTCTGTTGCTCGGAAAAAAGCAATGACCTGCGGGTGTCTTGTCTGCTCCTGTCTTGCTTGTGTCTCCCTGGTGGTGGAAGCTTCCATTGCAGCTGTTCTGCCACCTCCTCATTTTTACAGAAACTACAGAATGCCTATTTTAAAGCAGGGAGATTATCTTTTTCACATTATACCACAGAAGTCTCACCTTAGTCTTAATAATGAACATTTCACAATGTCTAAATATAGTGGATATCATCTGTCGATACTCGAAGCTATTTATGGCACAAAAGCGTCTCAGCAAGAGGCCCGGCGTCATTAAAATGCATACCAAATGCACAGCTAGAAATGTGTTTTCATTTAATTATTAATGAAATGAATAAATGTAATTTCATTTCATTGCTGTAGCCATGTGAGCTGTGACTTGAACGCAAATGGTACAGGTTGCACCTCTCTAATCCGAAAATCCGAAATCTGAAATGCTCCAAAACTTGAAATTTTTGAGTGCTGACATGATGCCACAGTGGAAAATTCCACACCCGACGGCATGTGACAAGGTGCAGTCAAAACTTTGTTTCAGGCACAAAATTATTAAAAATATTGTATAAAATTACCTTAGAGCTATGTGCATAGGTATATATGGAATAAATGAATTTCATGTTTAGACTTGTCTCCCATCCCCATGTTTATTATTTATATGTAAATATTCCAAAAAAGAAAAATCCAAAATTTGAAACACTTCTGGTCCCAAGAATTTTGGATAAGGGATAGTAACCTGTATCACAAAGCACTGTGAAAATAAAACTTCAGCTAGGAATGCTTTGTTCTGCTCTGAATTCCTATGGCACGGTTTAGATCACTGTAAAGTGCTTGATTTGTCCTATCCTGTAAGTTCTAGCCATGTGTTGAATTCCTGCTAGATTACTAGTCACTTGTTTTGCATCCCAACTTACCACCTCCCATGAACTATATAATCAATCAACGCTTGTTCACAAATTAGTCTCTCTTGGTTGATCAACCATTCTTATCTATACCTCTGTTTCGGTTAAGCATCTTGACATTTTTATTGATCTAAGTTTCTAGGTTGTTAATATTCAACCTTCAGGAAGAAGTTAGAGAAGTTATCTGAATGGCTTGACCAAGAATGTCTGAGGATATCATGTCCTTGATAAAGGCTGTGTAAGCCTTATCTGATATGGCATTGGTGATTTATGAACACTCTAAATCATTGGGTCTTTGCATTGTTACAGCAGTAGCAAATTCCTTTATTCTAACCTCAAATTGGAGTCAGATCTCTTACAAATTCTTCATTCACCCTAATCTTTTCTATTTCCCTAAAGTGAAGGCATAAAATAGAGTGCTATTTTTCCCTTAGGTTTATGTAAAACCTGTTTATAGTGCAAACAATATTATTGCTTATGGTACAGATGCCCATTTCTATCAATGGATTTATGGGAATTAGTGATGAACACTAGAAAGCTGTACTGTAGATGACATAATAATGGTGTGATTTCCCCCCAGATTAAGGCAATAGGAGAAGGTCATCTGAATCTGAAATTAACCCTCATATCCCAAAGAGCAAGAGCTCCAACACCCTACTATTCACCGGCACTGCTTGCATTTGCAAGCAGGTATTTGATGCCGTATTGCTCCTCTTTATCAAGATCAACATTGATCCGGCACCCTTCTCAGTTACGTGTCTTTCACGGCTATTTTTTCAGGTAAACTAAACAGAAGTTAAAAGTATTTTCTTGTCTGTCTTTCATAGCGTTCCCACCCAGGTAAAACCAAGGACGGAAAACAAATTCAGTCATCAAGGAGATGTAGGAATTAGCCAGGTAGGCTCATGTTGTACCATGCTACTTATCCCAGAAGGACAAGATCTACGGTTAGGAAAAGCTCCCTATTGCTTAAGCTCTGACCCAGGTGAATTAACATCCCGACTGAACCTAAATATTTCACATATGTGGTCACTGGCAGAGTTAGACCTCATTCTCATTCTCACTCTCTGTCATTTGCTTGCTAATGTGGCTCCAAACTACAGGGTGTCTCAAAAGTCACCATACATAGGGAAAATGAGAAATTGTAGCTAAATGTACCTTTATTTACAAAATATTCATTTCAAAATTTTATGAACTTTGTCCTTTGTATGGAGACTTTTGGGACACCCTGTATTTAATTTGTTGGTAACAATCTGCCTGGCTTTGTTTATATCACTCAGTTCCCTACAACTGTCTTGTCCTTCACCCCTGACTTAATCATGTACCCAGTACTCGAGTTTCTCTAAGTCTGGCATGAAGGACAAGACACCCCTTTTCTATCTTGCTACACCCCTAGAAACCAAAGGAGTCTTGAATATGAACCCCCAGCCCCAAAGCTGGGGTCTGGTTATTGGCTATCAGGCCTCCTTCACGCTTGTCTGCACCCAGACTCTCCTCTGTTTGCTCGGGCTGCCTGCAGGGTGTCTGTCTGTCTGTCTTGCTGTGTCTCCCTGGTTGGTGGAAGCTTCCTTGCCAGCCTGTTCTGCCACCCTCCATCTCCTATTTCCACACTCCCTGACCGCCAGGCTTCCGGAGCTTAGCCCCCTGCCTGAGCTGCCTTCCACCTGGGCAAATGCATCTTCTCCTCTGCTCCTGTTTTAACTTCCTCACCTCAGCCTCCACCTAAGTGGGTATAGCTATCCTCCTACTTCATTTGCTCATGCATCTAAAAATCATTATCATTACATCCTCCTCTGGCACTGGGACAGTTTGTTTTATTCCACCACTGACCAAGTATCAGAATTCTCATCTTGATACTGGCTACTCAACAAAATTAAGGAATAAATAAGTTCAGAAGGCTTTGACCAGCACGCTTTTCATCAGTAAAATAAGATTACCTGTTTGTTGGCTTTCAGCACCGCCCTCAGTGTGGCGATCTGCTCCCGTTTGGTGCTCAGCAGGGACTTGAGCTTGAGGATCTCCTCCATTAAGGCTTCCTTGTCTTTGTCGATCATGGGGGCCAGCTCCCGCGCCGCTGCTCTTTGACGAGACAGTTGCAAGGACCGGTCCACGGCTTTCTGCAGATGCTTGATTTGGTCCCGGATTATGGCATTAAGGTTGTAGATGTTCATTGGCTCTTTGCGGATGTCACTCGTGTCCAACACTGGAGATGACGGTGGGGCAGTAATAACAGGAGAGATTGTGGGGGTCTTGGTTGGACTTGGTTCTTTGCTGGCCTCTGTGTTTTCCTTTGCAACTGGTTCAGATGATGAGGTCCTTGCTTCTACTGGGGAGGACACTGGGGAGGACACACCCCGCCTGGCTAATCGTGGGGACAAAAGTCCCCTGGGATCATCGGGCCCTTTCAGGCTGCCGCTGCGGGTGACTCTGCTTTGCCTGTAGTAGTCCAGCATGACCCTGTTGGGAGTTTCGTTATTACACAGACACACATGGTGGTAAAGCTGAGCCAACTCCTCACTAAATGTCACCAACTCATCCTGGGCCGTGTTAAGGGTGTTGTGATTCTCGTTGGCTATGCCGGTCATCTTCTGCAGCTCCTTCTCCATGTGGGCCATCTTCTCCCCACTCTCCTTGGTGGTCTTCTCCAGGCTGGTCACCTGCTCATCATACATCTGGATCTTACTCTCATACTTGGCCTTCTCTTCCGTATAGTTTTCCACGGATTTATTATATTTCTCCTTCAGGGCCTTAATTTCAGCTTTCAGATCGATCACCTCTGTAACCGCCACCCGGTACTTGCACTCGAGGATCTCCAAGCCGTTGATGTCCACCTCATAGTCGTGAGCCTCCTCCCCCGAGTCCCGGCCCTTCTCCCCGTCCAGCTCGGCCTTGAGCTCCTTGCTGCTCTGCAAGCCCCTCATGGCATTGACGTGCTCCGTGAGCCGGTGCACCCGCTCGTGCTGCTCCGTCAGCGCCCCCTTGGTGTGTTCCAGCTGCGTCTGTGACTCCTGGAGGTTGGCCAGAAGAATGGCCTTTTCCCGCTCTACCTGCAACGGCAAAACAGAGTCTCTGAATGGCTTCAGTGAGATGCCGGGATAACGTGATCCATTCACAGCCGCGCATGCGTACATTTCAAATCACCGCAGCAGGGCCAATGTCCCCATTATGTCAAATTAAATTGGAGTGTGTTTTCTTATTTCAGCCGTTCTGGGAAGTCAATCTAAAAGTACACAATTCTAAAAGAATTACGCTGCGAGTAGTTTTGCATCCAAACTCTCTTGCATTATGCACATATACTCATGAAACTTGAATGTTATTCACACCATCTTATTTTCGTCTTTTAACGCCTTGCAGAAAACAACGTGACTTTAAGAGATAAGCGTAGTACCTGGTGTTGTCTTTACTTTGAGAGCCTCAGAGTACATCTGCTCCTCAGATCATGTGGGGATAAGTGACCAGACAATGGTGCCTATGAATCCATCATCCCTTCCTTCCCAGATCTCGACCCCAAATCAGGTTTAAACCCCAAGGCTTTACCTTACTAAATAATGCTGAATACCTACCTTAACCCTATCCTTAAAAATGAACATTTAATTCCCAAAATAAACACGCACTAAATTTGATAGTTTTTTAATATAAAAGTCAGAAAATATAGAGTTTTAGGGCTAAAAGAACAATTTACAAATCATCTCAATTCTGTTGGTACAAAACAGAAATTTTTAAAATTAGTAATTAATTTGAATACGAGTCACTTCAATTCCTTGGATACAGAATAGGAATTTTAAAAATTACTAATTAATTTGAATGATGTGACAGTATTATTATTAATATATAGGTGGTGACTATTACTGTGTGATAAAAACTACTCAGGTCTCCATATAAAATACTGTCTCATTAAACATAGGTATGTAAGAAATTATAATCTGAGAATTTTTAAAAGCGTTTTCTCTCTCCCTCCATAGGGGTAACTGATACTATGAATTAGGAGTTTTAACATGTTTATCATGTCAATACATTTTCAATAAAGCAGATAATATTGTTTATATTTTCATTATATAAGAGGTATTATGCTGTTCATATCCTTGTGCACTTGCTTTTTCTTTTCTTCTTATATTTCTAATAAACATCATGAGACCAGCTTTAAGGACAATGGAGTGATGTTGAATGTCTTTACATCTAAAGGAAGGTATCGACTCAAACTTTCAAACTTCCTGGACCATACATTCAATCCTTTCAAACTCTTCTAAATTCCTAGAAGGCAAGTAACATTATTATAATTAGAATATGACTAATATTTTTAAATCAGCATATTATTTTTGGATATATGTAAATTTATAATACAGCATTTTTATGATCTGTTGTGGAGCTTGATGTCCTTCATTTAACTATCACGTGCAGACTGTCCTCATTTGTCAAGGTTCTAATATGCATAGTTAAAACACCAGTCCCCTCAAAACATGGTTTCAATTTCACTTACCAGATGTATTACTTGTGAGCAATGCAGGAAGTACAATCTTTGCTGCTAGCTCTTCAGTCTATAAAATCACTATATAACATCGTGACTAATGGCCGACCACATGACTTAAGTCGGCACTGACTGGTCACTCTGTATCTGTTATTCAGTTGACTCACAGACAGCAAAGTGTGTAGTTGTGTTGTCTTCCTGTCTCCTAGTGATAAACCCATGTGATGTTTTACCAAAATGGATTAAAACAAAAAAAGAAAGCGCAGCAAAGAAGCAAAGAGTGTCCAAGTTGGAGTGAGATTTGCACCAAGCATAAATGAAGTCATGAAAGAAATAGCTGAACATGGGAATCTTGACACTGATGCTCTTTGAGGGATTTCAGATATGCAGCCAAAGGAACCTAGTGGAGGCAAATTTATCAACATAACTGGAAAAACTACAGTAGTTGTTTCAAAAAGGATGAAACTGTCCCAGAGGAAGTGATGCTGGCACATTAAAGGTACTCAGAGATATTTCTAGACATTGAAAATGCAGAGGATAAAATGTTGAGAGCTGGTCCAGACTTAGAAATGAGGATGACAATTTGCCAAGGCATTAACAAATTCCTGCCGAATGTCATCATAATATGATGAGATGAAGGCAAGATTAAACTACTCTTGATAAATTTTTACAAAGAAATAAAATGTAAACTCGATGTTCTTAATATTTTTAATGACAATGTACTAAGTAGTTTCATTACTTTTTTTTTTCATTTCTCTACACATTTATAACCAACAGTAAGTTTTCAGTATTTGACAAAAACCTTTAAAGATCACAAAACAATTGTAATTTTCCCCACTAATTAAGTTTTCCCACTAATTAAGTTTGTTTTGCATGGTTTTATCTTGCATGATCATTTTTACTGCTCTGCACTGTGTAAACCAAGGACTGCCAGTATAGTATGATCACAAATATTAGAACTAAAAATACAGTTTTGTTACTTCAAATTATTATTTAGAGGCTTTTAAGTTGTGGCTTTCATTTTATGACATAGTGCTTGCCCATATCCATGACAGGAATATAATCTACAAATTTCATAATATAGCTGCAGAAACCAAAATATTCCCAAAGAACAGTTATTGTAAGTAAAGAACTAGGGCTGTAGCATCAGAGAACTCTGGAGTCAAATCATTTTTCTTTTTAAAATATGTTGTTTGGCCAATTTTATTTTTATTTCATAGTAGAGACGGGGTCTCGCTCTTATTCAGGCTGGTCTCGAACTCCTGAGCTCAAGCAATCCTCCTGACTGGGCCTCCCAGAGTGCGAGGATTACAGGCGTGAGCCACTGTACCCGGCCTGGAGTCAAATCTTGAGACCAGCATTTACTTAGCTATATGACATTGAGCAAGCTTCAGTCTAGTAATCCATAAAAGGGACATTATAATACCTGCCTCATGGGAACATTTTGATAATTGAGACAGTGAACTTAATGCTGAAGGTATTATAATGTTAGCTATTGTTAACAATTGCTTAGCTGTGGCTCAATTCCCATGACCAAAATGCTTCTACATGGCAAACGTATCTGTTTTTCACGAATTTGTATCTGCGTGTGCAAAAGCAACTCTTTCATTTCAGAGTGAGGCTATATTTGAATACAAATTCTCTTAACTGACTTTCATTAGTATATAACTGATTATATCTCCCTAGGTGAAGATGAATTTACTTACCCAGACTACTCAGTGAAAAACCCAGAGAATTATGTAATATAGTATTTGATGAATAGCCAAGTTATTTGAATTTTTCATGATGGAGATGGAAAATCTCCTAGATATTCTAATATTGGTATTATATTCAATCTCATGAAAATGGATTATTACAGAAGTCTTTGTTTTTCTTTTTCCCTGGAAAATTAAGTAAATTTGCTCTAAAATGTCTAAACATTATTTAATTAGTAGACATGATTACAGATACAGCTGTCTCCAAAAAGCCCTTGAATAGGAAAAGCCTTTGGATGAAATAACAATTGGATCAGAACAAAATGCACTGAATGTGTCTCAAGCTTGTTTTAGAGGCAAAAGTGTTATGATGAATGAGGCAATGGCTTTAGAACAGTATTCAACCTGTACCCTGCCGATTCAGATTGAACATAAATATTTTCTAAGCCTAAAAAGATAAATCTACAATTTCTCCAGAAAACATCAAATAGAACATTGTCTCTTTCATGTGTGTAACCTCCATATTATGGTACTGCTTTCCATACTCAATACATTTCTGGTGAAATCCATTGAATAGGGAAATACATCCAAATTATAGATATACATACATATATGTAATATACATATATAAATATATTTTTCTCCTAGACAATTAAGTTTGGTCTGACAAAAAATTACTAAATTACATATAATTTTATAAAACTCCAACATTATATTTTCACTCAGCTATTACAACTTACAGTACATTAAGTTGTCTTTGGATTTCAAAGAGTAGGTGCTTAACTGTTTTAAGATTCATCGTACTTTGAACAAATAAATACAAAGCACTTTAAAGCTTTAAATGACTAAAGATTTTAAGTTTACTATCTTAATCTCCATTTGTAAAGAATTTATCCAGGAGAAACATGATGAGTTAATTATAATCTTCTATAGTGACTAAGAATAGTTGCCTTATTTCTCTTCCTGTAATCTTTATCTTCTATCTGGAACCAGGAATTTTATTTTTTCACAGTAGGGCCAGTTGTTTTGCCCAAAAACCTTAATACAGTATTTATAAACTGTTTAGTCTAATCATTTTTAACTTCACCGACTTTTCACCTTTTAAATAAACATATGTATTGAGGATTGATAGATTCTTTTATGAAGGAACAAAAGAAAATTTCATCATCAGAATTAGCACATTTATATCAGGACTTCTAAAGGAAAAGGAATGAAAGCTGTTTTATAAGCTATCAATGTTCATAGTCTTATTTTTAACATTTTAAAAGGATGAATTTTATTGTACATAAATTATATGTCAAGAAAGCTGCTATTTTTTACCTGACAAATAATAAATGTATGTATTTATGGGGTATAATGTGATGTTATATGTATACACTGTAAGATGATTAAATCAGGCTAATTAACATATCCATCACCACACATACTTATCCTTTCCCTTTGTGGTGAGATATTTAAAATCCACTCTTTTTAATAAAAAATAAAAAATAAATAAATAAATAAAATCCACTCTTTTAGGCTGGGTGCAGTGGCTCACTCCTAGCACCCTGTAATCCTCCTGGCTGGGGCAGGAGGATCGCTTGGGCTTAGGAGTTCAAGACCAGCCTGAGCAAGAGAAAGACTGTGTCTTTACTGAAAAATAGAAAAATTAGCCAGGTGCAGTGGTGAATGCCTCCAATCCCAGCTACTTAGGAGGCTGAGATGGGAGAATCGCTTGAGCCCAGGAGTTTGAGGTTACAGTAAGCTATGATGACACCACTGCAGTCTACCCAGGATGACGGGGAGACTGTGTCTCAAATAAATAAATAAATAAAAATAAAATAAAATAAAATTCACTGTTAGCAATTTTGAATGTGCAATACATTGTTACTATTAATAACTATGCAGG